GCGCTCCACTGAGTGAATTGGAGGCGAGGCGACCCAAGTCACCTCCCTCTGCCGGGCGGAAGCGTTTGATATAGAAAATCTTGTGGCGTCATTTGAAAAATTTTTCAGTCCTGGCGGTGGCAGTCGTATGTCGTATGGATGCGGTCAAAACAGTTGAATATACTAATGGACGTGAGATCATATATTAGGAAATCGGGAGTTCTGGGTTTGTGTATATATATATATATATATATATATATATATATATATATATATATATATATATATATATATATGTATGGATATGTATATATATATATTATATATATATAGTAGAAGTCCAAAAATCCGGGACTGCTTGGGGATTGGGTCAGTCGGTTTTAGGATTTTCGGATTCTCAGGCGGTACTTTTAAAATTCAAATTTAATGAAGAATAAAGAAGAAATGAACAGGTACATTTGATAGTTTATTCATTTGCAAATATAGCATGCTTCATTTATCAAAAGCGAGCAGTTTTAATGAAAAACTGTGAATTCTAAATTTTATTCTTTGCCTTTTATATATCATAAATTGTAGACTTTCCAATGTCGTATGTTTCCATTAGAACAGTATTGCTCACACCACGATCTAGTTTCTTAATTATTTCAAGTTTGTCCTCAATTTCAATGTGTTCTTCTTTCTCTTGCATAGCAGAGTTTATCTACTTTTAGACCATTCGTATTATGGTTTGTATAGTACTCTGTAATTGGAAAAGAGACTCAAAATATTATATTAATGGTATTCTATTCATACTGTGCTTGATATAATGCATTCAAAATGTAAGTTTTTGCTGAACACGTATTACAGTGGAAAGTGGGATAAAACGTTGTAGAAACAATGACTCGCTTTCTTTCGTTCAAAGATGTTCGTAATTGCTTTTTGAATGGTTTTCAGTTCAAAACTTTGTTTAAACTAATATTCTATCTAATTGACTTGAATAAATACTCGATACCATATTTCTGAATATTTTCATTAAAATCCATCAAAATAATTTTCCTTGTATCGTCTGCAGCACCAAACAGCTTCTCCCAGTCCTCTCTTTGGAACTGGGGCTAGAGGGCGTGTTTTCGGATCGTTTTCAGTTAAAAACTATTACATCACTCGTCTATTTTACTAAATAGCCTGAATGAATATATTCTCGAGATAAATAGTAGTTTGTGGAAGCGTGGCGTATTTCAATGTAAATAGGATAAAATACATGGCGAAAACAAAAGACTTGCTTCGATGTTCTTGAGATGTTACGTTTTTAATAGTTTTCAGTTAAAATTCTGATATTTTACAATGATATTCTATTCATACTGTGATATAATACATTCACGGATGTAATATTTTTCCTGAAATTACATACGTATTACAGTGGAAAGTGGGATAAAATCATGATAAACAATGACTTTCGCTCTTCGTTCAAAAGATGTTACGTAATAACTTCGAATGGTTTAGTTTAAAAACTGTTGTATTTCAATAATATTTCCCTCCTAGTTGACTTGAATAAATACTTGAATGGAAATATACAATATTTTGTTGAAACTACCAGCGTTTCAGTGTAAAGTGTCGTAATAATAAATGGTAAACAATTTGCCTTCAGCACTTGTGTTTCATGCAGTGAGCCTCTGTTTATAGGATGATGTTTTAGTGGTTTTTGTTCCATTACCCTCAAAACGTGGGTGATATAGCGGAATATCATAGACTATTGATTTCTTGGTAAAAATCAGGGATTGACTGATAACGAGGAGTTATGAGCGATATATCGGTATGTTGTCACAGTTTGATTGCCATTTTAAAGTGGCGACACGTGGTAACGCGTGTCGCTAATACTGGCTGTTGGCTCATGACACATATGCACTAAAAAAAAATCTTTGAAAAGTCGGATTCTCGAGGTTCGGATTTCTGGCAACCGTTTTGGACTTTTTCTGTATATAGATATATATATATATATATATATATATATATATATATATATATATATATATATATATATATATATATATATATACTGTATATATAAATATATAGATATATAGATATAATTATATATATATATATATATATATATATATATATATATATAGTTATAGATATATGAATTATATATATAGATATATAGATAATATGAAATATAGATATATAGATATATAGATATATAGATATACAGTGACCCTCCGTTATGAACTCAATCCGTTCCAGAAGGTCGGTTAGATTGGCAGTATTGAAACCATTGTTTCAATGGGTTTTTGGAGTAGTGGTTCCAGCTCACCGAAAATTTTCTAAATTCAACAAAATGGTAGAAAAGTTCACTTACTTTGAGGTGTGTATGTAGAAGGCTCCTGGATGATGATGATGATGATGGGATTTAGAATGGGGTGAAGGGAGAAGGAAGAAGAAGGTATTGGGGTGGAAGAGTCACCATGGCGTATTTCACCCATATATAATTTTAGCGCTCTTGGTGTAATTCAAGATTATTTTCTTTATATCGACACTGCACCATTATATATTGTCAATATGTAAAATATATTTCAAAATGACCAATAATTTGCCTGGAAACAGAAAAAAGCGTTTAGTTGAAGAGAGTCTCAAGCAAGATGTTAACTCCAGTGAAAACAAGAGACTAACTCCTGATTGCTGTGTTAAGAGGCTGGATGCGGCGCATTAAACTAGTCACTTTACCTTCAATTATGTTCAATAATTGTTAAAATGACTAAAAAATTGAATATTAAACTTTTAAAATTATTGAATAGTATAAACTTCTTGATATTTACTAAAATAGTAAGGAATTTAAGCCCTAGAACCGATTAATGTGTATTGGCGGACTGATACTAAACTGGTTTTGATCAGTGCAAGAAACATGTTGAGTTCGGTTTCTTAAGAACTTCGTTAACGAATTTTTTCGTGAACGAATTGAAGATCCTTATGGAAGGCAGTTAGTTAATTGAAATTACGTTAACAGTGTTAGTTAACGAGGTCACTGTATAGATATATATAGATATATAGATATATAGAGATATATATATATATATATATATATATATATATATATATATATCATGTAAATCCAAATAACGTGGATAAGATAATTTGTGATAAATCAGGAAAATGAAACAGCAAGTACCTTAGCTCAAATGTTTATTCAAGACATCTTCAGAAGCAGCAAGTTGCCTCTGAACAAAATATATATATATATATATATATATATATATATATATATATATATATATATATATATATATATATATATATATATATATATATATATATATATAAAATTTATTTATTTATTTATAGAAAGAAGATTTGGAGTGTGATACCCTACTGGTCTGTGTTGGCCGCCGTCCCTATACTGATAATCTTGGTCTCGAAGAGCTGGGTATTGAGAAGGATGCAAAAGGAAGAATCCCAGTTAATTCAAAATTCCAAACTGTTATACCCAAGTGAGTTACACTTATTAGCACTTAAACCACAGCATATGATGGTGGATTAAGTAGTTCAGTATTCTGTTTGGTTGTAATCTTGTTTTTTTTTTGTCTTATATTATGTCTGTCTTCCTGTAATTATTGCTTTCTAAAATGAACTTGATTACCGGTTTTTAATGAAATTTTATGCCACTTGCTACAAAGTGGTGTAGCTATGTGGATTGTTTGATGATTATACATCTATACTGGTCTCCCAAGAGGGCTAGTGAGGGTCATTTCCCATGAATCAGGGTAATCACAGGAGGAAACTGGAGTAGCCATAGAAAACTTTTGATGTGTGTTAGGGTCACACTTCTCTCTTTACACCTAAGCGGGAATTGAACACAGATCAAAATGGTGAGAGGCGAATGCTCAGAGGACATTTTTTATATAGACCCAAACTATCATTACAGTATCTGCTGTATGTTATTATTTTGCCTGTTATGTTTTCATCCACTTATAATATATTGTGTTGTGTTCAGAGTAGTTGATGTGCAGTTTTTCTTGTATCATTATTTTAATACTGCAATGTTTGTTGTACAGTATGCCTGGACTATACTGTATGGTACCAGGTAATCTTCAATTTCTTAAGTCATTCAGAATTTGAGCTGTATATCTTGATTGAAACCTTTTTTGTTGTTTATGAACGAGAAGATGCTCTTGGTATTGTATGCAGATTTTTTTCCTAGCGTTGGTATGAACAGCACACGTTCGGGTGCTGTTGATTAAAAAAAAATTCTTTCATGGCTTTTCTTGAAATTTAAAATTTTCTGATTTACTTAATTCATGTGTGTTTAATTAATAGTAATTCCACTTTTTCTGACAGTATTCATGCCATTGGTGACTGTATTCATGGCCCCATGTTGGCTCACAAGGCAGAGGATGAAGGTATCGTGTGTGTAGAGGGCATTGCTGGTGGTCCTGTACATATTGATTACAACTGTGTTCCTTCTGTTATTTACACTCACCCAGAAGTGGCATGGATTGGCAAAACTGAAGAGGATCTGAAAGCGGAGGTAATGATACTTTTCATAATCTTTGAATAAATTGTGTACAGTAGAATATCAAAATATCTAATCTGTAGGAGCAGTGTAACTTAACATTAACCTATTACTCCACATTTCAAAGGCCTCTAACCTCTTTCTGGTGTATGCTGAAAGTGTCCACGTTTGTGACTCATACAACAGTCCTTGCCATATAATGTCTTTCAACAGCATTTTCTCAAATTGAATTTAATTCAGGTATCCCTTTTATAAGGTCTATTAGATTATTTAATGCTGTTTTTGCTTGACCTTTTCTTGTTATGATTTCATTTATACATTTACCATCGCAGTCAATGTTACTTCCCAAATATGCAAAATTTTCCATTAGTGTAAGTTCCCTGTTGCCTACCGTAATATTTATTTTAGGATTTATTTCCAATTTGGGAACAACCATTGTTTTGGTTTACAACATTAATTCCACTACTGTTAACCAATTTTCTTCATTGTCTCTTCACTATCCATCATAAGGGCAATATCATCTGCATAGCATATATTTAATATTACTTTATCATTAATTTTTATTCCTTCATTGTCACTTATAACTTCTCTCATTAAGAATTCTGAATATATATTATACAATGTTAGAAATAGAACCAGCCTTATCTTACTCCTTGTCTAACTGTGAACCACTTAATAAGTTCATTATTTACTAAACACTGCAGCCTCCTGTTGCCAGTAAAGATTTATTTAGAATTCTAATATTGTATCTCCTTTTTTTCCAGGGCCTCTATAATTTTATTGCATTTTACTTCATCAAAAGCTTTTTCAAAATCAACAAAGCAGATATACAAATTTCCTTGGATTTCTAAAATACTTTTGATCAAAATTCTCAAACCATATTCTCTATAGCTTCTCTAATGTATTTCCATTTCTGAATCCATTTTGATCTTCAGATAACTCATTGTCTATATTAAAATTTATTCTACTTATAATTATGTTTTATAGAACTTTGCAGACATGACTTAGCAAGCTTGTTATTCTAAACTTGGTGCACTCTGCATCTCCTGATATTTTAGGTAATACAGCTCCTCCAAGACTTACGACGGGGTTAGGGACCCAAATCCAGGTCGTAAGTCTAAATTGTTTAAATACTTCATAGAAAATCTAAAAAGGGTGTCTCTTTTTCTTCTCAGCACCACAAAACTCTTACTTTTAAGCTTGCCAGTCATTTTAAAGTGAATTGCAAAAAATTTTTTTGTCAGTACACAGCGCAATCACTGACGTTGGGACTCGAAAATATGTAATTTGACAAAATTTTGGTAAGACTGAGGCGGTCGTATGTCCGGGTGGTCATAAGTCGAGTAGGTTGTAAGTCGGGGAGGTTTTCATCACTATACGGTGGAGTTAGGGACTTCGACAAGCCATCGTAAGGTGATTGATCGTATATCGTTATAATAAAGTAAATAATACTGTAATAAATAAATGTAACACTGCAAGGTGAGTTGACTATGTGAGGGGCGAGTTGACGAGGCAGGTGAGGTGATGTGACAAGGCACATACACAGCAAACACATTAACAGCACTACTAACCCATTGTCTTATAACATTTTATTTTCTAATTTCTATTTTAAAATTAATTTACACATGATAGCTTGATTTGGCTACCTTTGCATTTAGACAACAGATCAGTGAATGAATCAGGGCCTATAGAAACACATTATACAATTCAATAATATTTATTAAGTTCTAATGAATATGCTACAATATTATTTACTAAGTGCTCAAGACAGATCCTGGAGTAAGCACCAACCCTCTTGAGCAGTGACAACAACAATGCTGGAGAAAAATACAGATACAGAGGGGACAATAATAACAGTATTGAAAATGGCTGAGCCATGGCACCTGATATACACAGTACAGTGAACCCTCACTTTATGCGGTTAATTCAACCCACGGCGGCCCTCGTAAAGTGAGAAACGCGTAAAGTGAACAACATCACATATGGGATTAATTGAAATAGAGACCGGGCTGACCCCCAAACTCCACTTTTTCCCGACACAATACGTACGTTTTACTAAAAATAACCTCTTAACTTTATGATGGTATTCACCCACACAGTCAATAAGAGAAGAATAAACTGAAGGTTAGGTTAGAAAAAACAAGGTTGGGGTTAACACTTACGTTAGTAGAAGAGATGGGTCGGCATAGGGGAATGGAGGCTGGTTCCAAGGCAGAGGGCAGGCTACTGGCCCTCAGGTGAGTCTTCATCGGTGTCATCCACACTTACTAGTGCCTCCCTGACAATCCCTCAAAGTCATCATCACTGTCTCTACCTCTGTCACTATCACTGGCTTGGGCTGGCTATGGTGGGTTGCGGGCGAAGAACTCTGTTATGCTTTGCTGACGGCTGGTGTTTCTGTTGTCGTGATAAACCTTGATGTAGGGCTCCATAGTCTGCAACAGCTGGGTAGTGAAGATTTCATACTTGTTTGCGTCAGGGTCGTCGGAAAGGAGGAGCTTGACTTTCTCGATACACTCGGTGGCACCCCTAACATTACTATGGGATAAGCGGCGTTCTTCTTGGGATGACGCACCACCTGCCTCTTCACTGACATCATCATCATCATCTACCATCTCGTCGGCAGTCACATCAGGATCCCTTATCACCTCCAGGATGTCGTCGTTGGTGGTCTCGGAGAAGCCTGCAGCTGTAACACTCTGCGCAGCTTCTCTGGCAAGGTCCACTGCTACTGCAATAGTCTGAACCTCGCCAGTCACAAATTTACTCTGCCTAACACCCGGAATGCCTTGCAACACATGTCTCCATGCGTGACGAACAGTTGCTACAGACAGCTGATCCCATGCCTCCACCAAGAAGTCCACAGCTTTCTTGATGTTGAATGTTCTCCAGAATTGTTTTAAAAGTACTTCTTGCTCTGCCAACTGTTGATCCTTGCCGTCTTCGCTCTTGCTATCGGTGTTGGTGTCACTCAGGTTACGCAACTCTTCCTTGGTGTTGGTGTAGTCATTCAGGAGCTTGAATTTTTTCGTAGAGAATGCAGCTTTTACATTACAGATTAACTCTTGGTCCATGGGCTGTAATATAGACGTAGTGTTGGGAGGAAGGAAGACCACTTTTACGTTGGGGTGACGATCTAACAGTAGGGGCGAGTGTTCTGGTGCGTTGTCCAGCAGCAACAAAATCTTGAATGGCACATTCTGTTGCTCACAGAATTTCTTCACATCGGGAACGAAACAGTCATCAAACCAGGAGAGGGACAGTGTAGAGAACATCCAAGCCTTACGTGCGGTCAGCCAGTGGACATTTAGCTTGGTCATGTCCATGCTCTTGTAGGCGTGCGGCTTGCGTGCTGTGTGGATCACTGATAACTTGAGCTTACAGGTACCGGAGGCATTGGTGGTAAACAGGACGGTGATGCGCTGCTTCTGCAACTTCCGGCCCTGACACTTGCTGGCATTCTTCACAACGAAGGTCTTGGAAGGTAGTTTTTCCAAAAAAGACCAGATTCGTCCATGTTAAACACCTGGTCGTTGGTGTACTGTCCTTCCTCCATAATCTCACGTAAAAACGGAGGAAATTCCCTAGCCGCAACACGGTCAGCACTAGCTTCTTCACCACCAATGTTGATATTGGTGATCTTGTTTCTCTTAAACCTCTGTAACCACCCAGAGGAAGCATTAAAGGGTTTCGGCTCTGTAATTCCCATCTTTCGTGACACTGCAGCATACAGTTCACGTGCGTACTCCTTAACTGAGCGGATGTCCACCGCCATGTTCCGTCGCGCCTGACGCACCAAGTAGCTCACAAGTAATTTTTCTGTCTTGAGAAGCACCTGGTTGTGGCAATACTTGATCATAGAAGCACCTGTAGACTTTGTGATGTTCATGTGCTCCTTTATCTTGGCTCCATCCTTCATAATTGTCCTGATCGTAGACTCGTTAACACCATGCTGGCGCGCGAGATCAACCTGTCTTGTTCCTTTCTCCAACTCTTGTCTGATCTTATATTTAATTTCATAGCTTAAGGAACGTCGTGTCTTCTTTGGCTTAGGGCGGCTGGGTCCAGGTAATGCAAGGTTTCTTTGTGGTGGTGGTCCGGTGGAAGCCATTCTTATGGAACAATGGATACCGATATACACGGTGTAGCCTGGAGGGGTGTAACTGACGCGGTAGGTCGAGGGGCTTGAACGCTCCCGCGGCGGGGCACGTCATTAAACCAATCACAGCTAGCAGGGAGTGAGGTTAGGATGCTTTGCCCAATCACAGTCCACTACGTCATATGACGTCACTGTTAACGCAACAAAGACATACACTGCGCAACCTACTCGCGCCGCTTACACAACATGGCGGATGGCGGGAGGTTTGGATCCAAAAATGGCGCGGTGCGAGAGGACCGCCAGCCGCTCTCCGCGTAAAGGGGTACACGCACCGCGGAAAGTGAGCATTCCGGTTTCGGCAGGGAACCGCTTAAACGTGGAAACGCGTAAAGCGAGGGTTGACTGTACAATTATCTTGAGGAATTGTTATAAATTATAATATTTAGTATCATCTGGATTAGTACATGTAACATGGTATTAGTAAATACATATGAGAATGTTATCACGATTATCGCTCTTTATTTATTTATTTATTTATTTATATAGTTATTTTCTACATTTACAGTATTTTCTCAATTTAACAAACTAATTCGAACCACCCCTGTTTGCCAAATTGAAATTTCCACTAAATCGAGCTTTCCACTGCTCAGTCTGTGTCCTGCCGCCACCGTGTATGTTGTTCACTGCTACCTCTCGGTCAACTAAGTACAGGTCCACCACCGATTTTCCTGCTCCTTTGGTTCCAAAGCCTTGCCGGATTATCCGTTTTGCCGGACCAACCGAGGTCAGGTAATAGGAGGTGTATACTGTAATTAGTGGGTCAGAGGGCAGCTAGAAACTTAAATTTAACAAATATTAAATGTAAATTAAATGTGAAAAAGTCATAATTTTGAGCAACATTACTGTACACACTTTG